CTGTCTTTTTGACAGAGATAATGGCCACTTAAAATGTGTCACCTGATCCCTCAATATACGGACAAATTTTACAAAGTTATTATAGTGACCTTCTAAAGCTATCCTTTGCTGCCATTCAGAAATGACAGTCCGAAGATTGAGAATTTTGGCCGATCATTGGTATTGTCGGACACCAAGCTTTGAGAGCTTATAACTTTCTATGCACTCTTGCAAGAGCTACAAGTTTTGTCACGCAAATAAAGGATAACTATTGCTATAATACTTTGCAGTTTCATGAGATGGCAATGTATAGTTTTCCTAAAACAAGTGTCCGAAAATTGATGGTGTACGATCATTGATAATGTACTCTAAATCTACTATCAAAACTATCAATGCAACAGCAATAAAGCAACAGTAATAAAAATATAAAATATGTATAAAGGATCACTCAAAAGGGTCCACTCATTAGAAATTTATCAGTTCACTGATCATTAGACCTTTCTTTTGTCATCTTCCACAACTGCTTCATAGTTATTCCTGTTTTGTGGCGCAATCAGTGGAGCAGTTTCATCAGTGCCCCTCCATGTGGCTGAGTCTGTTAATCTCATTCGACTGTTTGCTCCAATGTACTCCATTATATTTGGAACATGAGTACTTCCAACCAAAGCAATCTGGTAGCCGTGTGAATCTTCAAGATTTTCCGATATTTTTGTTTCATTTGATTTAGTATAACCAATGCATCTTTTAAAGGTACCACTACTCCTTTTGCAAATGAAAACAAAATAATAGCCAATGCAATAAAGGAGAGGGACTACTATGAGTATATACTGGATAGCAAAAGCATAAGGATTAAGGTTGCTGCCTATTCTTGTCTGAATGAGGTTGTATAGGCTGAAGGTAGATATGCTAGCAAGGATGAGAAACATACAGCAGTCGAGATTATTCAACCAGTCCTTGCGATAAGGCCTTATAAATGCAAAAAGGAAAGCAACAACAATAAACAGTAATATTTGAAACAGATATTGCGTGTGCCACTGGTCAGTAAAGCCATAAACAACAAATAGAATAATGCGCAGTATAAAGTAGAAACCAGCAAACCATCGACAGTCGAGTTTCCTATCGCGTCCATCTTTGTAGCAACCGTAAAACTCATCCATGAACATAGCTAGCTTTGGAAAAGGGTATAATTTTGTCAGATTGAGTTTCCAGCAAGACAAGCGCTCAAAGAGCCTCAAGAGACTGGGATAAATGAGCAAGAGAGGAGGAATGAGACCAAACGTAGCTAATACTATTATAGCTGGTATGAGATATTTCTTACTTGGAAAATCTACATCACCACTGTAGTAATGAACACTAGTAACTTGATCACCTGTAGAATTGTAGAGACCTCCTGGGGTTAGAAGGAGAAGCGAAAGGAGAGTAAACTTTGTGTAGGAGATGACAATAAAGATTGCAATGCCGCCAGTTATTGATGGTTGTAAATTGCTCCACTGCTGAAATCTTGCAAGACAATAATGAAAAGGTCGCAACAGTAACACAACAACACGAAAGCCTTTGTTGTACAAACTTATGACACCGACAATAATACAGAGTAGAATCAGAGGGTAGAGTGCTTCTCCATATCTCAACAAAAATATATCCATGGTGTTGAATGATGATCTTAAGCAAAACTGTTTTATGAACCCAGTGCGGAAATCCATGTTCCAAATGCTATAAAGAAAGACATAAACATCCTTTAACTTTAGATACTGACGTGTGACGTTCTGTAATGGGATCATCCCATCAGCATCAACTTTAATGACAGATGTCACTTGAGCAAAAAAAACAAATGCATTGAGAGGTCCAGAGGTCACTGTCATACTAAATAGAAATATAGCTACAAAAAATATTGTTATTGGGAGGTACGTAGAGAGAGCATAATACACCCAATTAATAGCATGATCCTGACACTCTACACAATTATAGTCTTTAGAACTGACTTCTACGCCATACCCATTCTGACATGAACCACATAGAGTACCA